AGGTTAAGGCAGAGTGAGTGTATTCACTTCAACCACAGCCCCATTTGGTCATGGTTTATGGTTACCATGGCAACACCCAAGGATGGTTTCCCCCTCCCCTGGATGGCTCCCAGCAGAAACAGCCTCTCTAAAACAGAACACCACAGTCACACCAATTGCCTTAGCTGTCATTGCACCATTAATTGAAATATTGGGAGCTTTAGTTCTCTGAATCCGGAGACATCCAGCAGGGGTTGGGGTGCTTTTTCTTGATACTAGAGTCCTTAGGCTAGTTAGAGGTTCACTCACCACAGTCATATCCCAAGGTCCCTACAGAAGGGAACCTCTTGTCAGCATGGGAGTCTTTCCATAGTAAACTGTATTCTTTTTCTGACGCTGGCCGGATTCTTTGGTGCCCTTCCTCCATTAGAAGTGTTTGGAAGATATTCTGTCTCCCCCAATGGCAACCAGCAACAAAGTGTGCAAGACAGTGGATCAGAATTCACACAAATAGCCAGGTTGGCACACACAGTGAGGAAGGGACACAAAGCCCTTCTCTGCCTAATCTGCTTTATCAATCCAACCCATGATTATTTTTAAGCTTTTGTACTAAAATGTCTCTTAACAAATGAGACATGAAACAAGTGAGTTTTTTTTAAACAAACTTTTAGTGCAAATGCATGCATGGCCATGTTGGGCACAGGTGGGGAGAGAAAGGGTTTTCTTTCCTGGTTGAGGAGAAGGAACAGGGTGATGTGGCAATACTTTGAACAAACTGCCCTGCTACTCCTCCCTGGCAGTGTGGAAATAACTCACTTTATAAACACGGGCATTTGAAGGCCTTTTAGGATCAACTGCATATGGAACCTTGTGGAGAGGTGGCCGGGGCCACTATTGAAGTTGTTCATCTGAAAAGGCTAGGATGCACTACAGCAAGACTAGGTGACACTTCCAGTCCCCTGGGTCCTCCATTTGTGCTTCTTCACTGTGCAATGTGCTCTAAGCCCTAGGGTTTACCTCTCTAGACAGCTTCCCCAGACACCCTTGTCTTTGGCTTTCAAAAGGGTTTGGCTAATAGGAGGCCATATCAGGAACATGCAAGAGGGGAATCAAGTCCTTGTTGGGTCATGGAAAGTCAACTGAGTCCCTCCATTGGGACTTTGAGAACACAGAATTGATCTTGGAACATTGTCCCCCCAGCTGCTCTGACTTCTGCCAATCTCACTGTGCCTGCCCAACCCCCCATTCTCTATCTCATGGACACTAACAGCTCCTATTGCTGCCAGTCCTGGAGGCTTGCAACCTTCCTCTGCTGGCTGGCCTATCTCTGCTTCTATCTTCATAAATATCATGTGCCAATGCCCCTCAGTGATTCTGCTTGACTGTGCCATCTGCTCCGCCAGCATCCTGACTGAGAGACACTATAAACATGCCTGCCTGTTAACCAAGAGCAATGGGCCTCTCTAGCTTAGAACTGTGCACTGCAAAAAAGCTGGGAGGCAGGTTCAGAACATGCTGTACTCTCTTGCTGCTGGAGGCTCTGAGGTATCCCTGATCCTGCTGCCTCCCTGGGGAATTCATAGCACCCAGAGCTGGTACCGAGCCCAGGGAAGTCTTGCAGAAAGGTTAATTCCCACCATGCAAACAATCTAAAGGTTTCAACCTCACCAGCTGGGGTTGGTTCCCTCCTTGAAATCAAAGCTCTTTGAATTTTCGGATTAGAGGTTGCATATCCCACTTCTCCAGACTCAGAGTGGGATACTGGGTACCCACAACTAAGTGGCTCTCCCAATCCTTCCCAGAGAGGCACAGGGCTGGGGGAAGTACACAGGCTTGCTGACTTCATCTAACTACCTTTCATCTTCAAGAGGGAGCTCGAGCGAAATCAGAGCTTGGTCTGGGATATGCCTCTTCTTGGCCTGTGTAGAAGTTGGCAAAGGTCATTGGATGATGGAAATACCAATAGCCAGACAGTGCAATGATACTGCAAGGTCTGCCCTGCAGGGAGCCCAGCTGCCTGTGCTTTCTGAATGGCAGTAAAGACTACTGTCCCCCAAAGAAAAGACAAACAGAAATCCCAATCTGGTTGGCTACCCTGATCTCTGTGGCATAAATGTAGGGCCCTGGGACTGGCAGGCATTCAAGTACCCACCTTCTGTGACAGCTCTGACAACTCTGCTATCAGAGCTCTACTACAAAGACCCTATATCTTTTAGGGTGTAAAAGATACATCATGTGCTACATCATCTCACTCCAGGAATGAATTCTCTGTTGTAGGGGAGATCTCGGAGCATCCTCACTTGCTCAGCCAACTCCAGTGGCTTGCAGCACACAGACTGGCCATGCTTGGTTCTCAAAGCCAGTGTACCTCTCAAGGGCCAGACACTAGCAAAAGAAGAGGAGTTTCTAACAGGAAGGAGCCCATGACCTTGGTTTCATTACAACTTCATGGGTGTGGCTAAGTTCACTCTTACGAACTCTAGTACATGGTATTCCTAGGTCAAAGCCTCCATTCATCTCTTAAGGCCTCTCTACAGCTTGTTCTCCAGTGGGCAGCTTGTTCATTTCGCCTCTTCTACTCTCCATTCAGAGCAGCTAAAGGCCTCAACGATGATGATGAACATGTATGCATAGAAGTTCCCACACTGAGCTCCCTCTCAGCATGCACCTAGACATGTTGCTTTGCCTCACCATGGCCCAGGAGCAATGAAGCACCTGAACTGCAAAGTTTAAAACCAAAGCCAAGCTGTTTCTATAATCATTCCATTTCCCACAGCAATGCCTAGACATGTTGGCTTGCCTCACCATGGCCCAGGAGCAATGAAGCACCTGAACTGGAAAGATTAAAACCAAAGCCAAGCTGTTTCTATAATCATTCCATTTCCCACAGCAATTAAAATGTCAGACTAGCATTCTGTTCATTTTACAGAGATGCTAAACCACTTACCTAAAGTCACACACAAAGTCTTAGATGGCATAAATATAACTCTTATCTGAGCTTTCATATTATCTGTTTTGTCACTGCTCTGGGAAACATTGCAGAGGTTTGCTCCAGTCTACCACATATCACTTATTTCCTACTTTTCAAGAGAAAATGGCAGGAGGGTCTTTTAATCAGCAGCAATGAAGCCAATCATAGCATGAGTCAATAGACAACATTTCTAACACACCCAGTGTGTGCTACATAGAGACTGTTAATTCCTTCAGAAATTGTGCCCTCTTCCATTGCAGAGAGATGAAACTGGAAGGCAGTTGTCAAGATAACTAGTACATTTTCTCCAAACCCTTGTATCTGTGTGGGACCACACCGTGGTCAGTGGATGAGGGCAGATGCCACCTTCTAGGCCTGGTCCTTAGAAACCCAACTCGCCACTCCTGAATGACTTTTCTCAGAGAACACGAGGCACTACAAAATGGTTTGGGTGACACTTGCCTGTTTCTCCCAAATATTGCACACATGGAGAGAGCCATTCTAAAAGAATGTACAGAAAATACATGAGTTCACTGTGCACCATGCATACCTTATAGCATTAGGTTCCATTCACTCCTAGAACTGGCTCAAAAGAACATTTCTATTTCATACTGTTGTATGTTGCTTCTCAGAGAGACTTTTGGAGCTACTTACTGGGGCTAATACAGTCTATCAGCCATGAATTCTGAACAGAATATGCCATTCCACTCAGGACAAGATATGATACAAGACCATAAATTTGGAGCATGTTGAGCTACTGACATTTTGGGGTTTTGTCATAGCACCTAGCATTATCTTAAATTAACACAGATGGTATGAAGTCCCGTGCTAAACAGGAGAGCTGGGAGTTCGTTAAAGCTGACCCATCTTTCCCATGGCTTGGGACAGGGGCTTGTAGGTCCCTGGAGCTAAGAGTGACAAAATCCTTCCAATTCACAGAGAATGGGGACACAGGAGGTTCACACAAGGAAGATGAGACACAGAGTAAGCTACTGTTGCAGGGTGCGTATACATGTATACATGTCTGTTCTGTGGAACAGACTCCCCTGGGGGACATTCAGTGAGGACAGTCCAGGAACCTGCATTCTTAATTTGCAGCAGTAGATGGACTTTGAGAACAGCCAGGCTTAGGGCATGACAGTGTGACCTATCCCATCAGTGAGTGCCATATGACTCCCCTAGACTTCCAAGTTGTACTATCAGTAGAGAATCCCTTTGTGTGGAGATATGCATTGCACATGACTGAAGAAAGGGGTTGAGGCAGGGGGTGAAATATTTAAAATCAGATACTAGGAGTGAGCATTGGAGATGGTCGCCCTCTGAGTTGGGTTGGAGGGGAGCATCTTGGGAGAAGAGGTACTTGGCACAGTAGTTACAGCTTATGGGGCATCCTAAACCCTCACTACCCTATGCAACATCCTTCAGGGGCCCTATACCAAGGCACCCATTCATTTTTTCTGCTCTATTCTCACAGTCCCTAACCTCAGCTCCTTGCCTCCCCAGACTTTACCCCCTACAAAAGTGGGTATCAGATTCAGTGTGTTTTCATAACTTTGGTACACAGCTCCATCCTCAACTCTCTTACCTCTGGAACCAAGGAGAGCAGGCACTATGAAGTACATACAGAATTTACAGATGGGTGTAAGGCCACAGCTAGCAGCCACTGAGCAAAAGCTACACAGCCAAACTTCCTGAACCTTTACAGGACAATAAAAATGCCACCAATCAGCAAGGACAGACAGTTTTCTTCCTCTCTCACAAGGAGCCAGCACTCCACCTGGGGAATATCTTTCAAAGCTTGAGGGCCTGAGAGTACAGCTTTCAACGCTGCCCAAAAGAGGATGCCACACAGGGCAGCCGCACAATCATTTATATACTTGGTAGGATGCTCCAACAGGCTAAGAATCAAGGCTTGGAAAATGCCCAGAAAACAGGAGAAAGGCGCTCCTGGTGCGCACAACTGCAGCTGCACTAAGACTATCCTACTATGTCCTGGCCAGTCCCCTCCCTTTCCCGCGAATAACACGACCCCTCTGGGGCCAGCCCTTACCGGAACCGTGCCTCTGACGCAGAAGGACAGCCTGGCCCGATGGCGGAGAAGCTGATGAAGCAGCAGCAGCTGCAGCAGCAGTGGTGGTGACTGTGTGGGTTGCAGAGGCAGCAGCAGCAGCGGCGGCGGCGGCGGCCTCCGGAACTTCTGGCCAAGCAGGAGGGCTCCCAGGAGGTGGGTTCTTGTCTCCATGCCCAGGTTCAGAGGTGGTGCGGACCACTGCGCCTGCGTTGCTGGAGCTGACAGCGCTGGGGGCTCCGTGTCGACGAGGGCCACTGCTCTGAATGTGGGACACTGCCTCAGCAGCCTGCATGTTGGGCGGTGCGAAACGCGACAACACGCGCAGCAACGCCTGGGCCTTGTGTTCTTGAGTGTCGTCGTCGCTGTAGTCCGACACACGACACTCATAAACTCCTTCGTCCTGCAGTCGTACAGCAGACAACCGAAGGCGGTGTGAGATGTCATTGCCCTGGACACGCACGGTCTGTAAGACAGCCGGGTTAGAGGCCTGACCAGTGAGCTCCACATCTGCTTTAGTGACTGGGGCTCCTGATTCCCCTGTCACTGTGCCAATAACATCCCAATTGTCACCGCATCCCAATTTTTCCTAACACCTCAATGCATCTCAACTCGTGGCACCCAGCTCTCAATTCTGTCTAGACATCTTGTTGCTTGTACACTTGTGTTGGATCCACAGTTCCCAGTCGCCTCAACTCACATATATTCTTGCTTAGAGTTTCCCATATTTCCCCTTCAGAATGTAATTCTCCATAACTTGCAAGAAATTTCAGGTTGGGGCTCTGTGTCACTAACCATCCACACCCTTCCTGTACCTCAATGTCCAAGCTAATTGCTCTGGAAATCATGTTTACTTTCACTTAGAACCCAGAGAGCCTGGACTGTGTCCATCTTACCTGTAGCATGCATAACTACACATCCCCTGCCCTCTAGTTTATTTCTAGTCCTTGCCTTGCTTAAGACTGACCACTTGTTAAGATCCTTGACAAAGCCCTCTTGGCCTCTTGGCATAGTGGAAATGTTAAGACTCTCACCAAACACTGGCACAACCTCTGAATTGGGCCTACGAAGAGGCTTCCGTTGTTTTCAGGCCCTGCTACTTCCATGCTCCAGCTTTATAAACGCCATAACCCCTCACCGCATAAGAAACAGCCCCCAGGAGACAACAACAATGCTATCCGCGGAGGAGGATATGGTTGGGCAGAAGGTGCTTTTGGAGAGCTTGGTGCATGTTCAGGGTGGGGCAGAAGGGGATGGGAAGCTAGAGCAGCCTGAGCTAGAAGCTACATTCTAGGTCTTGGAAAAGATGACAGCAAAGGAAGTCAAGAGAAGGTGCAGGCCAGGGGCCTCAGCAAATGGTGAAAAGGAATTAGAGTTTTTACGGGTGAGTTAACCAACAGGGTTGGGGGACTGATTTGGGAGCTAATTTGCACAAAAGACAACCTAATCCCTCTACTAGCAACAGATGGCACCCGGAATACGCCAAGTAGCCTCAATGCTTCTGGAAGGTAGCAGAGCTCCCGCTGCTTGGAGGCAGAGGTTTTCTAAAGAGGAGGGAGCTGCGGGGCGCAAAGCGGCCAGAAGGGGTCTCCCGTGGCCCACGCTGGGCTCCACACTTACGCTGATTTTAGTTGCATCCTTATTTGTTACCTAAAATGCAGAGGGGGAAGGGAGGGAGGGAAAAGGAGGGAGAGAGAGGGGGGGAAGAGGGAGAGGGAGAGGGAGAGAGAGAGAGGGAGAGGGGGAGGGAGGGAGAGAGAGAGAGAGAGAGAGAGAGAGAGAGAAAGAAGGGAGAGGGGGAGGGAGGGAGAGATCGATTAAACGAGTGGCATTTGTACACGGGAAACTCTGACCTGTCTTTGACAACAGGGACTTTTTGCAGGTGGGCTGGGAGCTGAACCCCCTGGGGTGTGGTATGGTGGAGGACACCAGTTACCTTAGTATTGCTGCAGTGTACCGACAGAAACAGCTTTGGGGCTAGCACCTTGTCTGGCTAAGCAGTGGCTGCCCTGACACATACCTGTTTGCTTGGGAGAGTAGGAGTACTGGATGGCCAAGAGGATGCAAAGGAGGGAGCCTTATCTCCTACTCACTTTCTCTAAATCATCCACGTAATTTGGAACTGTGAAAAACTGGATGGAGGGTCCAGCATCACTGAGGCCTGACAGCCTGGTATGTGTGGATATGTGCCAGAGGAAGATGAGAACAGGAACTCTAAGTGGGACCCTTGAGGACACTGTAGGTAGGTGCATGTGTGAGTGCTAGTGTGGGTTACGGAGCAGCCCGAAAGGTTTTCCAGCCACTGAGGGTGGGGCAGCCCCTCAGATCCTGTGGAAGCTGGAGGTGATCGGCTGGCTACCACGTACTAGTTAGTGCCCTGTTCTCTATCATGAAAATGCAATGTGGAGGAGTTGAACTCCACGGCCTTGAGTCTCAACACCTCGGGGTGGCGGAGGAGAGCCTGACAGGACCAAATGATCTTTCTCCAGCCAGCACCCTTCAGAGTATAGTCCGAAAGCCAGCGAGAATGGGCAGCCAAACTGGATCAGGTGTAGGTTTTTAAGGGCTGGGCGTGAAGGGAGTTCCCTGAGGTTGCAGAGAAGGAAAGCAGTGCAAAGAACCGACAGTTTCTAGGGGCAGCAACCGACTTTGACAATGCTGTGGAGATGCAAAGGATGCGAGTTGGCTTCGCGACAGGGCGGCGCCCCGTAGGGGTAACCCTCACTTCCCCTGGAAGGAGCAGGGTAAGCACCGGTGACGCTTGGGCAGCGGGTTACCTTGCTCCGGGCGCCCGGCACGCTGAGCGCCAGCTCATGTAACAGCTCCCGGGGAGGCTCCTTAAGGTACCACCACTGAATCTCCAGCGAGTATGAGGTGGCTCCGCTGGCCCGGAACGCGCAGGGCATTTCGATATCGTCTCCCTCCCGCACGGTTACATCTTTGGGGACTTCGGTGAATGTAGCTGGGGGCGGGAGAGAGAGGCGTGACCAACTGAAAGGCGGAGGCTAGGGACATGTTGAGGCTGAGGCGGTTGATCTCTTGCTCTCCGGCCTTGGACTCCCCCCACTCCTGTCCCCAGCTACTGTGCGGCCCAGGGCGGGAGGCGCCAGCAA